GGTGTTTGTGGGGGTTTTTCTAGGGGGTTTTTTTGTTTTTTTTTTTTTTTTTTTTTTTTGCAAGCCCACACATATTTAACTTGATGGAGAAATCACTTCAAAAGCTTCCTTTCAACTATTTACAAGCATATAAATAGCTATGCAGGAACAAGTCAATAACTTGTCTAGTATGCTTCCTGTTTCAAACAATGGCAAATGTTGGGTATTTTGGTATGAAAATGTCCATTTTCTCATATCTTTCCACCTCCTTATAAGTATGTGCACGTGTGTGTATCTATATATACCTGTCTATAAATAGCTACACACACATTTACACACACGTGCACACACATCCCTACATGAATATTTTCTTTATGCATAATTCACCAAAAGAAAATACTTAGGCTAGCTTCCAGACATGTAAATATAACAACAGCTAAATATAACATTTCAATTTCACGTTTAATAACTGTTAAAAAGGTTATTTCCCATGTCCTGTATCTTTAGTTATATAGTTTGTATCAGTTACTGACATGCACTTTAACCTGTGCTTTTTCAACCTCAATTTTATAGTCATTGTGCAAGCCAGCAAGCATGCAAGCCTACTTCTGCAGATGAGATTTATTTTTCAAAGTTTTAAGAGCAGGCTCTGAGGCTATCACCCTCAAAGGATTTTCTGTACCTTTCAGGGAAAATCTCTGAGAAAAAAAATTTACTCAGAATGGTAGGTAAATTCAAATATATTAATATAAGACCCCATTTATGCATTTCAGGGGACCAGTAAATAGCTGAAATGTGGTAATGTGGTTTCAGTTCTATGTACTTAGAGCATTGTCTTCATAAGTAAGATATTCCCAGCATGTCAGTTGTCTGGAAATAGCGATCTAAGTTAGATCTCCTCCAACACAAACATCTTCAAATTTAAAAATCACAGTAGGAAATCAGAATTGCTCCCCAGGGGCATCTGTATTCTCAATGAAACATCGGCCTTTGTCTGTGTCATTTCTAGTCATCATCTAGTTACAGACCCTGTTGTTTAACACATATCTTGCAGTCACCACTCTGATTAACCAAAATGTTGAAAGCATTCAAACCATTACCCCTTTTTCCAGGGCTGATTACCAAATTTACTTACAGCAAGAGTCCAGTTACATTTAAAGAGAAACTGGCATATTTTCTTGACTAACTTCTAAAGTCCTTACAGCAGCTAAAGGCTCATTTCCTCAAGTCCATGTTTTTCTTCACAGTCACACTTGTGCTCTTTTCCTGCAAACATCAGCATGGATTTGAGGATCCTTACCAGGAAGGAAACGTGTTCATTGGTAGTGTCAGTTCTCTATTTGTCTGTTTTTCAGCTGTGTCCACTCTCCATTTGAAAAGATACCGCCCTGGTAGTTTTACAACACAAAAGCTTATCGCTGTATTCTTTTCTTGCTTAGTCAACCTTTTTATTAGCTCTGTGTACCTTCTGTTGCATTCATCCCATTCACCTCTGCATTTGTTATGCCTTCTTATGGCACCTTATCTTTGCATGATTAACATGAATGCAACAAAAGCTTCCTTTGCACCTACATTAGTCTCTTTTCTCAGAGTACCTGTTTTATGTCACAAAGTTATCTATTTTCAACAAATCAGACTTTTAAAGTGATTTTAAAATAAACACTTGTAGAACATACTGCACTTTCTTACCTGAACAGAGTTGTTCGACTTTTGTGTAGTTTAAAGCTAATATATCATTAACCCATGCGATGATGTCATGTCTGCTCATAGTCTCTTGGGTTATAGAGGTAGAGTACACGTTGACCGCCATTCCCCAACTAGGAAAAAAAGGACAAAAAATATTTTTGACATTTTGATAATTGTTTTCTGGATACTATGAATTTACAATTCTTGTTTAAAAAAAGAAGAAAAAGCTGCATCACTACACAACTTTCTCTTATTTATTGAGAAAGGAGGGTTAATTTTTCTTCTTTGATGACACACGATCTCCTCGAAGTTCTCTTGGAATCTATGAACATCTTTCTCTGGCTGTCACTGTGAACTTAAAAGAACACACAAACCTACAGCATTCTGCTTAATGCTAATAAGGCAGGAAAAAAAGAATCAGACATAGCCTAAAGATACATAGACAGGATCAGAGACCTGGAATTTCACCACATAGTGCTACACATATACAGTTATCTGATATCTATCTGTCAGCTTTCTGCTACTGCAAGATGTTCAGACTGCCTAAACCAGTATTTAATTTTCAGATAACTTCTAGAAGATGCAGCTGTTCTACTTCCTCCAATACTGGTTTCTTACTGGTACGGGTGCCTTTTTGATCATGAATTCAGTTTCTAGCAGTCACACAGTGAATACCAGATAATATTTTATCAATTTACCAATCTCTGTCCTGAAAGTAACTGAGACTTTCACTCCCAACTGTCTAGTAGGAAAGCTGCTGCAGAGCCCAATTCCTCTAAATCATTAGGAACACTTCCTCTCAGCTAAACTAATTTGTTCTTCTGCCAACATTATCCCCCAGCTCTAATGGTTTTTTCTTCCCCAGAGCTGATTCCATAATGCGTTATGGACAGCATTCAAGAGTCTGTCCCAGTGCCCAGGTAGGCTAGATTGAACAAATCAATCCTCTGAGTCTCTTATAAAAAGTCAGACCTTCACTTACTGGTCATGCCAGCAGACTTCCTTGAACACAGCCAGTTTCAGACTGTGTTCAGATAACATTTCACCAAAACCTTGGAAAATGGCACTCTGTGCTGAAAATTTTCATAGCCACATCATCTTAAATAGACCCTTCTAGTTAGCTAAGGTCCTTTCCTCCAAGTAGGTCTAATTCGTAGTAGCCTTTATCATCAGTCCCCAAGTGCATAGACTGGAAACACATACTGCTTGATTTTATTTCCTGTTCTACACTAGTCACATCTTTCTGCTGCAAGACATTGACAAGAGAAAAGACGAGCACATTCAAGTTTATCTCATCAATAGTTTCAAAGAGCAGAGTCAAGATCATTCATGAAGAGTAAATAACGTTCCCAAGACTAGTGGACTTCAGGAACACCATTAGCAACAACCCAAGTATGAGATATTTCCAAAATGATTAAATAGTCAAAGTTGTGCTATTATTCTTGGAAAGAAAGGGTGTGGTGGGGACTACACGCCTTTGTCTCTAGTGACAATGTGTAGCTAACGCTTCACTGGCCAGCTTTGGTGCCAGTCCTGCCGCCTGAGCCTTGAACCTCAACCTTCTCGCTCAGTGAGATCATCTTCTGTGGGATCCAAGGCCTGCATGGGCTATTTCCATTGACAATTTGCAAAGATGTAACTGTTTGAAGCTTGACGGACAATTGTGCAGAGAACACAAAGACTGCAGGTTAATTCCATCTATTTTTCAGGTGTGCTGAAGCAAGCCAGATAAAAAGTGTAAAAAACCCACAAGAATGAAACTTGACACAGTGACATGCAAGTGTGTAAGTACGTAAAGCAAGGAATGTATTTATAAAACACAAGGTGTCAAAGTTCATAATATAGGTCGCTTTCTATGAAACAAATTTCACAGACACAAAATATTGTTCAAATTGTCCCCATCTACTGACATTAAGATACAAAACACAAAATCCCCAAATTTGCCTGATGAGAAGGAAAAAGATTAAAAAAGAAGAAGAAAAGACAGGCCAGTAAGGGAAAATAGGCTCAAAAAGCGCATGCTCCAATAGTTAGGCTACTGCTAGCTATTCGTTCCGAAGCAGGCTGCTCCTCTACCCTCTTCTGTGCGGGCACCTCCAAAGTAGGCAAAAAATCAGCCTGACCTCAGCCTGTTCTGTTCTTCCTGCAGGCTCCCAGACAGCACAGCTAACTGTATGAACATAGCACTGTATTCACTGTAACGGTTAGCAAAGGTCGTTTCCTTGGCACACACTAAGTGCTTGGATTGAACCGAGCGGTAGCAACAAAGTTTTAGAAATAGGGAGTGCCCTTTTACTCTCAAAACCGCACTGCAATCGCTAATCAGGAAAGCGTAGCTTTGTCATTAGGATGGTGGAAGGGACTGAGCAGGCAAAGAGCACCTTTGCTACTAATGGCATCTGAAGATTAAGATGTCACTGTTCGCACATTTTTTAGTTTATTATTTTTAGCCTTTTTATATAGTTAAGAAACTAACAGAAAGATACTATCACTGTCGCTATTAAACTGACATGTTAAATGTTGTTTGCAAGATCAGTGCAAGTAACAGCTTAACAGTGAATTTAATATTCACTTAAGATTCAGTATAGTGAGTTTGATATTAAATCAACAGTTCAGTATGGAACAGTCCACTCACTTCTAAAGGAGCCACAGATATTTAGATGCTAACACTTGAAATAAAGCTACTCTGATTTGTAACTGCCGCTACTTCATCCAAATTTTAAGCGGTCTCTCGAGGCCAGGCAGAGCTCAGAACAACCACCAGCTACCAGCAGTGAAAGGAGCAACTGTACTCTGTTAAAAAGATCAAGAAAATTCACATACAGGAAGGCAGCAGAAATTCCCTCATCATCCTTTTCCAAAAGCAACTGCAAAGAGAAATACCTACCACTCTGCAAGCAGCAGGAGAGCAAACAACCTCCTTTGCTACAGTGCATAGGATGGAGAACTCTACTTCAGGAAACAGTGAGTAAATTAATAACCTTGAGTTTTACAACGATACTCTGAAGGATGTCTGTAATAGAACTTATGCTGTGTCTGCAAATGAATTATTATGGTCCATAGGTCAAACCAAAGTTCAGGCTATTAATTACAGACAATAGCTTCTCATTTGTACACACAGGTATGCATGAGGGTGTATCAATACAATTTTAAACAAACTGATGCAAAATTAATCAGAATTTCTGTTAAAAAATTCAATAACATGCCATTGCCATTTCTTCACAGTGACTTGTTAACATGTCTGAATCTTCACACGGCCTCTTCTCTCGAAAGAGTTTACCATGTCTTTGCATCTCCTGTTCCCCACCCCCCAAATAAACTCAGCTGGGAAAGGTTTCCTTTACACTAAGCGTGTTCTAACTTGGTGCTCAGATACACACATACCCTGTTTGCCACACAGACAGACCTTGAAAAAACAAAAGAGAAGAATTAAAAAAAAAAATAACCAGGCGTTGGTAGTGGAGTCACCATGCTCAGCGACAGACAAGAACCCTTGCACTCGTCATCCCCAGCGAGGCTCAGGTTTGCTCCAGGACTCAGTTCCCTAAGTGCTAAACTGCTTTGAAAAATGTGATCCATATTCAAGACCGGTATTAATAAACATCTGTAAAGTGACGCAAGAGAACAGCGGCACAGGTGGAGACAGTACTCTGTGAGCAGCCAAGTATCTAACAACTTGATTGTATGTCCTAATACTGCTTCTTCCCAATAAAATTATTTACATTTTCAACTTGTTAGGCCTTCCTTTAAGTTAAATGCTCTGAAGCATAAGGCTGCAATGAGGCTCATACAAGCCTGAAAATCACCATCTACCTCACTGAGATCTTTAAGCTTCCACCTTCCACAGAGATGCCTGGCAATTCTACAGCAGCTAAAAGCAGATTGAAGATAGCACATCACATCCCCCATGACAGAGCACGCAGGTGGAGATTAAAACCTCTGACTGTTACAGTACAGTACTGCCTAACCACAAAGGACTCTCTCTTGTTTTGCTTATAAGGAACTGAAATTCAAACCCCCAATAAATACAAACAAGCCATGGGAGAGTCTGCACATACTAGTCCAGGCCATTTCAGAAAAACGCTTCACACATGCAGAGCTAAGCACCACAGACCTGAGGGCAGAGGATTAGTTAAGTGCTGAAAGTCCTGTATATGCTTAAGCAGTTTCTCCAATCAGAAATATACTGGCTCAGCATGTCTGATGGTAAACATTACACCCAAAGGAGTATTAATCTTCTAAGGCATTACATGCAGCACTGAATGTTCAGCTATTAGGCATTTTCCACTGCTCTTGCTACAGATAACTGCAGCTGTTACAAGGTGTTATCCAGCTGTGTTTAAGGACAGTTTTGCAAGAGGCATATTTATTTTTTCAGGAAGAAACTAACGGTTGTTGACAGCAGAAGCTGTATTATGCCAAACCAGTAATGACAGCAAGACTGGAAGGATTACAGCAATGAATCTATCTGCAGTGTAAAATCTCATCACACGTGCCACCACCTCTGAACCTTCAAGGCCGTCCTGGTTTGTACAATCAGGCACAGTATGATGTTAGGTTTTTAAAAGCAATAGAAAGCCTGCGTGACAATACAAAAAGGAGCTTTCTGGAAGCTGGCACCCGATAGGATCAGGACAGATACTGCCAGTAAAACAAAAGATCTCCCACCAAAAATTACTGAAGCAGAAGATACAGCAGAAAGGCTAAGATGTAGCCAAGCGAGACTGCTGTACCTCCTGTTGGAAAGGCTTTCTGGATGAAAGCTACTGCAAAACAAAAATCCCTGAAGGAAGAAACCTGTCAGCCTCAGCAGCCTCACCCTTGTAGAAGGAAAATTCATCCTTTCACATCATCCTGAAATGGCAGCTGATTTGCAGCTGGACCTTGCCTGCTTCTTTACTGCATACAGTCTTGGCCGTAGCCATTAGAGACTAGATATGCTTAAGACTGTCTTTACTGAAAGGAGTTCTGAGGACAGAAAAATAACACAAAAAGTTCCTATGCAATGCTGACAACACTGTTCTTACTCTCCCTTTTCACTTATGCTGTACTCCTGCAGCAAATTCAATGGTCACAGCCACAGCTCTCGCATCAGAGCGCTGCAACTGAAGTGGTATCTGTAGCAAGCAAT